GTTTGCAATGACTTTTCAAACGAAATAACGGGAATTCTTAATACTTTCACGGAGCAAGCGATATGTTCTCACTATTTTAATGCCTGTATTTTATTCGGAAGTTTTATGCAGTTTTTAAAAGAAAACAATTGGAAATAGTGACGCAAAAATGGGACATTGGCGGATAACGGGTTAATAGTGGGATGTGGTAGGATCAGGATGAACGGCGGGGGATGGGGGGATGGATGATCTAGCATCTCTCGGGGTTTTCAGGTCACGGAGAGCGTTACGGCGCTAACTTAGGACACGTTTGAACTTATGCTTTATCATCAGGTTTGTACTGCGACATCTCTCCGCGAACACGTGGCAGCGGCCAGCCGTGAATCCAGCCCCACGCTCGCGAGCAATTATAAAAATAAAACCTGGTAAACGTTGACTCGTATTATCGCGGACTGTTTTCTCCCCTCTCTCTCTCTCTCTCTTTCTCTCTTTCTTTGCCCAGCTTCTCTCGGAGTTGAAACGAAAAATAAAAAGAAAATAACGCGGTTCCAAGCATTTCCGAATTCCCGTGGCTCTCGATTCCGGTCTATCGACTATTTACACGTAGCGCGACGTATGTCCATGTATACATATATATTTATATATAATATATATAATCATATAAATCTCTCTCTCTTTATAACCTTAGTAGAAAAATTAAATTTGTCGGCCTCGACGCTCTAACACGTTCATCGTCCACGTCAACATCGTCGTCATCATCGTCATCATCACCATCATAATCATAATCATAATCATAATCATCGTCGTCGTCGTCGTCTCCACCTGCTCTCCACCTCTTTCTCTCCGCTCTAGAATAATCCCATAAATCGCTTTCGTTCGTATTATTTTTCTGCTCTTTTTTTCTTTCATTTTTATTTTTTGCCATTTTATTGATCCGCTCGAACGGAGAATTCCAGTCGAAAACTATAATAACGGTGCCGTGTCTACTATCACATAGTGTTTCCCGCGACTCGAATTTCGAAGACAGCCTAGAGGGGGGGGCCGAGGGGGCGGAGAAGACATCCTTCTCGGATGTCGTTTGCGAAGGGAGAAGGGGGGGGCGGGCGGGCGGGCGAGTGTGCGAGCCAATGATCGACGCTAGAGAACGTACACGCGGATCGAAACCGAACCGACAATAGCGTAATCGCGAGCGACAGAAGCGTCGACGTCTAACAGATAACCCAAACGATACCGATAAATCCGACACCATTGTTTTAAAGGAGATTCTTGAACGAGCGTGCGTGCGTGCGTAACGCGTCGCACGATCGAAAGGACGTGGCCGCGGTTCAACGGCGTGGAACTAACGCCTCGGATCCTCGCCGCGATCTAGCTGCTGAATGGGAGGAGGGAAGCGTCGCGGCGAGAGCAGCCACGAGGACCGATTGCCACCCCGGGGCACCCTGGACACCTTGGTGGAGCTAATCGGCGGCGTTGCGGCCGCCAAGATCGGCCGTGTCCCGGCCCTGGGGCCGCGATCGAGATCTCCCCGTGCCTGCCCCGACGGCTCGCGAGGGTGGGCTCTCTATCCTAATCGCGGCTGTTGCTGGTGATCCGGGTGCTGTTGTTGCTGTGGCTGGTGATGGGAGCTTGCTCTCTCCGTGTGCTCTCTCTGCTCTCTCTCCCGCTCGCGCATCTGTTCCATCTTCTTGCGTTGCTGCTCGTTCTTGCTGAGCTGCCGATGGTAGATGCTCTTGTGGTTCCGCAGGCTGTTCAGGCTCGAGTAAACCCGCTTGCAGACGTTACAGATCGGTTCCTTGCTGGGCCTGGTGTGCACGTTCTGTATGTGCCGCTTCAACCGCGTTAGGGAGGTCAGGATTTTGTTGCAAGGCTCGCATCGAAACTCATCGGACGCGCCGCTGCCGGCCAACTGACCTGGCGGCAGAACCAGACACAGGGGGTTACTTTTTTTCGGTTTTGTCACGAGGCTCGGGGTTTTTTTGATTTGTTTGTTTGTTTTTTTTTTGTTTTTTTTTACTTTTTTTTCGGCTCGCCGGACTTATAGGCGGACCGAAGCCGGTCCGGGGGTTGCACGGGAACCGCGCGGAAAACGGGGAAACCAGACCAGTTACTTTCTTTCTCCCCGTCCGCATTCTCTAGAGATTCCCTCCATTTTGTCTCTAGTAGTAGCCGCGCGTGCCTCTATGTCCGGCGATACATATCGTCATCTACTGTTTGTTTGTTCGTTCGATTTGTTTTTTTTTTGTTTGTATGTTTTTTTTTCTAGTCTCGCTTTCACTCGTTAACACCAACCATCTACCACCACACATGTTTTTGCGTTTTTTTTTTGGTATTTTTCGGTTTGCAGGAGATTGTTTTATTTTTTTTTTTTTGCCGAGCCGATAGAGAAACACATTCGTGCGCCCATTTTCTCGATTAGTTTTGTCCGCGCACGTTGCCACACACCGTCACCCGACCAAGCCGTGCTCAAAACTGTCTGTTTTACGGTTGCGTTATATACTGTTTTTTTTTTTGGTTTTTTTTATACATTTTGTTCGGTATTGTTTGTTTGTTTGTTTGTTTGTTCGGTTGTTGTTTTTTTGTTGCGGGGAACCACGTGACAATGCCTGCAGTTTGCCTACCGCAGAGCATCCTCCGTCGTTACGCACCGTTCCACGGTCCGTCTTGCACCTGAGTCCTCCGAGGGAAGAGCGTCTCAGCCTCTCGCGGTCGCCATTGTCAGTCGTTCTTTTATTTTCTTTTTGTTTTTTTCCACGACTCTTCCGTTCGCGAGACGCTCGATCGAACGGAATCGAACGGAATCGAGCGGAATCGAATCGTTGCATCTTTCTAGTTTTTATTATTATTATTATTATTATTACTGTTATTATTATTGTTATTATTATTGTTATGTCTCTCGTCGCAATCTCGTTTTAACCACGATACTGTGCTGACAATGGCGACGGTCGTTTCGGCGGGAGACTCTTCCTCGTCGAGGTAACCAGCGTGTGCCCCCTGACACCCGTTCGTTAACTTCGGTACTCGTCTAACAATCGTTGTGCTCTGACGTTTCGGGAGTTGTTTGGTGTTTTATTTTTTTATTTTTTTTTTTTTGATAGCGCATTACGATAGTAGAAGTGCAAGCAATTCCAAGATTCCAGTGAACGATCGTGAGCGATGACGTTAGTGTTTTCAGAGCACCAGAGATGTATCCATGTCGATGCGTATTATTTACAGCAAGACAGAGAGCAGAGTAGATATCTTGGAGCGGTATATATATAATAACGTTTTTTGACTCAATATACAT